GTGGGCCACGTCTTTGCGAGAAAACACCACACACCATTGAACATGAAAGCAGCAGCTTCAGACAGACTCAGGATGCCATACCTGAGACTGGGAAGATGCCACTCTTGACTAGAAATGGGCTTCTCAAATTTTCATGTGCACACAAATCACCCCGGAGGGCTTGCCAAAATGCAGATTCTGACTCAGCTGGTCTGGGGTCATGCCCAACATTCTTCATTTCTCACAAGTTCCTCCCTGCTGAAGCTCATACTGCTGGTCCAAGGAATACACTTTGCAAAGCACATGGAACTGACAAATGGTCCACTCACTATCTGTTCTTGGCCTCTGATAGTTTTCCTTGTTGCCTAGTAGAAGCTGCCAGCATCCAAGTTCATCTCTTCTCAGCTACAGATCCACATATTTCTCCACATCAGCCAGAGTGACCTTTCACAACCCCAATCTGTTCCCCATGCTTAAAAATGTTCCCTGGCAGACCAGGCATAGTGGCTCACACCTGTAATCGGAACACTTTGGGAGGCTGAGGCAAGAGGATCACTTGATCCCAAGAATTTGAGAATAGCCTGGTAAACATAAGGAGACCCTATCACTACCAAAAATTTTTTAAATAAATTAGCTGGGTGCAGTGGCATGGGCCTGTGGTCCCAGCTATTTGGGAGCCTCAGGTGGGAGGATCACTTAGCCAGAGAGTTCAAGGCTGCAGTGAGCAGTGATTGTGCCACTGCGCTCCAACCTAGGTGACAGAGCAAGACCACATAAAAAAAAAAAAAAAAAAAAAAAAAAAAAAAAAGCTTCATGGCTTCCCATGATTTTGAAGATGAAGTCCAGAATTCTTAAGGCAGCCTGGAAAGCCCTAAGTGGTCTAGCTCCTCTATTACCTGTATCCTCTAGCTCCTAAATAAACACATTTAGCTTTTCCTTACTAACTTTTTACAGCAGTTTTGGTTCCTCTAGGATGTGTATGTGATATGTGACTAAATTGCCCAATGTTCAAAGATATATTGCCACACTGTGGCTAGAGGTAGCTTCTGTACTAACATGGAAGGTACAGTGTGGAGTGATCCATTTTTAGATGGTCAGGTATCTACTACACATGCAATTTTTTTTTTTTTTTTTTTTTTTTTTTTTTTTTTTTTTTTTTTTTTTTTTTTTTGTTGTTGTTGAGACAGAGTTTCACTCATGTTACCCAGGCTGGAGTGCAATGGCGCAATCTTGGCTCACCGCAACCTCCGCCTCCTGGGTTCAAGCAATTCTCCTGCCTCAGCCTCCTGAGTAGCTGGGATTACAGGCACGCACCACCATGACCAGCTAATTTTTTGTATTTTTAGTAGAGACGGGGTTTCACCATGTTGACCAGGATGGTCTTGATCTCTTGACCTCGTGATCCACCCGCCTCGGCCTCCCAAAGTGCTGGGATTACAGGCTTGAGCCACCGCGCCTGGCCTGGCTACACATGCAATTTTAACCCTAAAAATAACTGGTCAACTAAGCTAGAGTAAGCTCTACATCCAGCTGTATTACGTCCTATCAGTTTTCCTCATATTTTATGTCACTAGCTTCTAGTCATGTTGGCAGGCATAGTCCATAAGAGTTTTATCTGTGCCAGTGGAACAAAGATGGTGATTTCTGTTCTGTAGGAGTCAAGGTTCCTATAGCCACAAATAAAATCATCTGCTGAAAATGCAAGAGCATTGGCATCTGCTGAGAGAGGATGATTCATTGAAGTGATCCCCCAAATTCTCGAGTTCCTGGTTTTCCCTGCTGTTATAAAAGTGGATCCACAGCATGAGGTATACAGAGTCTCCGAGAGATTTAAATTGGAGGGAAACTTCAGCTTTGATCTAGTATTGAATTTGGGATTGATCAGCATCATTCTTCTAACCCCACTTGTCTTTTTGAGCCTGGGAGCAGCTGTGATATTTCTTTCTTTTTTTTAAAATTGCATTTTAGGTTTGGGGGTATGTGTGAAGAACATGCAAGATTGTTGCATAGGTACACACGTGGCAGTGTGATTTGCTGCCTTCCTCCCCATCACCTATATCTAGCATTTCTCCCCATGCTATCTCTCCCCAACTCCCCGCCTCCTGCTGTCCCTCCCCTATTTCCCCCCAACAGACCCCAGTGTGTGATGCTCCCCTCCCTGTGTCCATGTGTTCTCATTGTTCAACACCCACCTATGAGTGAGAACATGCGGTGTTTGATTTTCTGCTCTTGTGTCAGTTTGCTGAGAATGATGGTTTCCAGGTTCATCCATGTCCCTACAAAGGACACAAACTCATCGTTAGCTGTGATATTTCTTTGGCATGCTCTAACCATTTGGATGAAAGACTGAAGTGGCAACTGTGGATTTGGAAGGATGAGTTCTGTCATTAAAGGGCGAGTGTGCTACACCATAACACCTAACTCTAACTCCAAGTGATAAAAAAGGGTATGGGGTTAGTTAAAGAAAAAAAAGAAATATATATATATATATATATCGCAAAAACTTCAGAGAATTAATGAACAATTTAATCTGATTATATATCAGTGTCACCACGTCAGCTGTTTAAGTATTCTGCATACAAGTCTTTGTGTAGAAGAACCCCTCCTGTATGAATTATTTGCCCTCTGTCCTTCCCTGCGCCCCTTCTCTTCACTCTCTTTCCATTCACACTGTAGGGGTCTGTATCTTCACTCCCATCATGCTGGACTATAATTGTGTTAGTTGTCTGTCTGCCGTATTGGATTTATCTTGAAGCCAGAAAGGTATCTTATTTCATATTAGTATACTTGGTACTCAATAGGTCTTCACAAAGTACTGAATTAATGAAATCCAACAGAAAACCCAGTTAGAACCCAGCTCACATTATAGAAAATCAACTATGTGACAATTGAAAATATGTCTTCCAAAGCAGTGTTCTGTGATGGTGAAATATCCTATATCTGTGTTGTCCAATACAGTAGCCACTAGTCCATGTGGCTTTTGAGCACAGGAATTACGGTTTGTGCAACTGAGGACCTGAATTTTTCATTTTATTTAATTTTAAATAATTTAAATGTAAATCGCTGCATGTGTTAGTGGCTACCATATTGAACCACACAGTACCAAGGCCACACATCTTAATCCTTTAAGGACCAGATACAACTTTGTTAGCCAGAAATGCAGGCACACTCATCTTTTTCTTAACATGATCATAGAGGCCGAGAATGTGTGGAGGTTGTGAACGGCACAATATCTATGTCTGTTTTCTCTTCATATGAGATATGCCAAGGCTAAGAATTCTGGTTTCTCTTAGTTTGCAAACCTGGAGATAATTTGGACTTTGAGTTGCATTCCTCTCACCTCAGTCCTCAGAAAGTCATGTAACAAAATGAGATTGAGCTCTAACATCTCTGCTCACAAACCCCAAGTGTCTGAAACTCTTTAAGATACTGACTTGCTAGTGAACTTGAACCATGTTGTGCTTGGTTCCCGTCTTATATAGTATTCCCAATCCATTTCAGGGAAGTCGATCTTCCTAAAAACAGCTGATAATCTTTTGAAATAAAAGGAAGCACAGCTTTCTTACGAAGCCCTGATATATTTTTTTTTTATTTTCTGAAGCCCTGATATTTTTTTATTTTCCAATGAACTAAAGAGAAATCTAGTAATGAACTTTCATAGTCACTTTCCATAGTTTTAAGCAAATGCTAGTTTAAAAGGAATGCTCATCAAAATGAAAACGTTCATCTCTGGTGTTTTATGCTGGGCTGTCATTCCATGACGACTATGAAGACCATTTGGGGAAATTTCTGGTTTTAGCTGGCTTAATGTGCTTGCCCTGAAGTAGTGAACTGCTCTTGATTGCTGTTAAGCACCATAATGCGTTTAAAGTTCAATTTCCCCGACAAGCCATTTACTTAAGGGTCTGTATAATATAAACAGCGTTGGGAGGTTAAGAGAGGTACTGACATTATCCCGAGGCCAGGACTGCCTTTACTGAAACATAAATGTCTCCAAACTGAAAATGTCACCTGGCTCTGCCCCTCGGGCAGGTCTTCATGGACATCTAAAGTAAAAGTTTATTTTAAAAATGAATACAAGTCTCATCTTTTCAAGATTAAACGTGACTTACAGCTCTCTCTCCCTTCATTCCACTTCATGGATGTTCATTTTGGTTTTGTTTTTTTCTTCTGTTCCTTTTTCTCCTCCAAGTACTTAAATATCACCCACCAGTTCTGGGTTCTGACTCTGAAGGTGTGTGAAGGGAAGGGGTCAGGTAGAAGCTGGGGAGGAGGAGGACTGTGAATGAATTACTTGGGCCGACTAGGCTGAGAAGAAGCATTTTTATTGAAAATTTGAGATAATTTCTGATGTCGACTTGAATGAAACTTGAATGGACCCACTTGAGTGGATCTGGGTGGCTTTGTACTTCATTGAATTAGGACCAAAATACCTGTGACCTTTCCCAAACAGTCACATTGCTATTTGTTTTGAACCTGGCGACGGCATTAATTGCTGTATCAGATTCTCCCAGTTGCCGAGGAGGTCAAGGGCTTCGGGAAAGCCATTGGTTGCTACAGCAGCAGATGTATTGAAACCCCAGAACTGTGAGGCTGGAGATGACCTGACTGCTGCTTTTCTTCGCAGAGCTGCAGCTTCACTGCTGTCCTCTCTTTTGACTGTGTTAGTGGAATGAGTGCTCACTGGCACTTGAGCAGGGCTCCCCCACCTCTCAGTGGATCAGGAAGCTGTAGAGTTGTGGCTGCCTTATAACTCTTTGTCAGTTGCCTGCCCAGCCACTCACTACCCTTCCAGGCTCTGAGCAAGTTAAGTTATATTCCCTCTTGGAGCCTCAGGGTCCTCACTGGAGATTGTGAGACCATGGTAACGACCACACTGGCCCTTGGGATGTCCAAGTATTAACCATAGAGCATGATGGGGGAGACGGAAAATTAGAGCCTTCTCTGTGAATATGTAGTATTCTTGAAGACCAGAGGCGTTATTGCACATAACATCTGCATTTTTTCTCCTTTGGGTCCAGGCTGCTTTGAATGCTGCATCAAGTGTCTGGGAGGAGTCCCCTATGCCTCCCTGGTGGCCACCATCCTCTGCTTCTCCGGGGTGGCCTTGTTCTGCGGCTGTGGGCATGTGGCTCTTGCAGGCACCGTGGCGATTCTTGAGCAACACTTCTCCACCAATGCCAGTGACCATGCCTTGCTGAGTGAAGTGTAAGTATCTGCTTCCCTTTAAAAATGTATCTAAGGCCAGGCGTGATAGCTCACACCTGTAATCCCAGCACTTTGGGAGGCTGGGGCAGACAGATCACCTGAGGTCAGTTTTAGACCAGCCTGGCTAACATGGTGAAACCCTGTCTCTACTAAAAATACACACAAAAAAATTAGCCAGGCATGGTGGCGCGTGCCTGTAATCCCAGCTACTTGGGAGGCTGAGGCAGCAGAATCGCTTGAACCCAGGAGGCGGATGTTGTGGTGAGCCGAGATGGTGCCACTGCACTCCAGCCTGGGTGACAGAGTGATACTCTGTCTCAAAAAGAAAGTATGTAAGACGCAACCACCTCATGATGTTTTTCAGATGTGTGCTCTCCTGCCAGAAAAGAATGCTTTTAATTAAAGCTCGCTTTATGCAGATAGAAAAAAGTTCATGAGAGAAGGAAAAAGAAAGGGTCTAGAATGTGATAGGCGTTTAGGCCACAGAGTGGAATGTTACTTGGGAATGGCAAGGTGTGCCCACAGGACACTCCACACATGGTAGCTGTGGACATGGGGGGCTGTGACAGGGTGATAGGTGATGCTGCCATTTGTCTCAACAGAGTCATGTTGTTCCCAAATAACAGATGCCTCCAGTTTTCTCCCAGGAAGTGACCATCCCTGGAATGGTAGGAGCCCTGTTGAAGGCTGACCCCAACTCTAAGCCTACAGGAGCACCATTTTAACATTAACTCTTCCAGCAAAAGAGCAGACCCCAGGGCATCTTCCATTGCAGAAAAGAGGAAGGTCCAGGGGTTTAGCAGCATATCTCTGCCTTTCATTCTGGAAACATTCTCAGTGGAATTGCAGTGACTCCCATGCATAGACTCTTGTGACTGTGCAAGCTCAGCCGCAATCTGCTTGTTTTCTTCACGTGTCTTCCCCTTTCTCCATTTCCTTCAGCATTTCTTTTTCTTTCTTTGAACCCCAAAGTTCTGCAGTGTTTAGGTGTCTTATGATTATAAGAAACTTCTTCACCAGACTGAAAAAGACATGAATCAAATTTTATGGAACAGTCATGAAGTTGTGTTGGAGACTCTTCAGTCCTTAGGGAATTTTTTTCTTTCTTATCTGTTCACGAATGACCTCCAAGGAAATGAACACAGGTCAGGGAGAGTATAAGGAGGGCTGAGACGGGACAAGGGACTCACTGAGTACCAACTTTGTGCAAAGAAGAAATGTTTACCGAGAATGAACCTGGAAAAGGTGTATTGATTTAATTAGGTAGTGATTCCAATCTGTGGCTCTCAAACTTCTGAGAAGCTTTAAAAAAATCCCCATGCCTTACCCCAGACCAGTTAAGACATAATCTCTAGGGGTGGAATCCAGGTACCAGTATTTTCCAAAGCTCCCCAGCTGATTCCAATGGGCAGCTGAAGGCTGAGGACATGTCATCCATCTTTGTTAGCTTTTGTGGGACAAACTGCATTGTGAATTAACTTTCTGTATCTTAAACTTACTCGACCTACTATTACTTGTGTGGTGGGAGTCACACTGCAAAAAACATCTCCCCAAATTATCCCCTAAAGAAGCCCTGAGTGCCTACTTAGGGTTTTATCAGAGTGACATTAACCACTAGGCCTGGTTGGGAGGTATTTTGATAGGGCAGAAAGAACATGTTGTCCATTGGACCAGGGTTCAAATGCTGGCTTTGCCACTGTGTATCCTCCAATGCAGAGCTTAACTCTTCAGTGCCTATGTTTTACTTATGTACAAAATGAGGATTCTAACCCTTGCCGCCCAGAACTCAGGGAAGGATAAAAGATTACAAACTAGATGCTGCCCTGATCAAAGGAAGACATTTCCGCGTTGGAAGGAAGGCCCAGGTTGCTGGGACGTGGGCAGGGATGCCTGCCCAGGACGCCCCCCAAGTCCACCAAAGCCATCAGTAGGGCGAGTGATGCTCTCCCAGGAACATCCCCCTCATGTTCTCTCTCCAGCGTCCAAAACAGTCACTACCAGGCAGTGAATTTAACACTTCAGGATCTCTTCTTCTTTGTAGGATACAACTGATGCAGTATGTCATCTATGGAATTGCATCCTTTTTCTTCTTGTATGGGATCATTCTGTTGGCAGAAGGCTTTTACACCACAAGTGCAGTGAAAGAGCTGCACGGTGAGTTTAAAACAACCGCCTGTGGCCGATGCATCAGTGGAATGGTGAGTGTGAACCTCTGATAACTTGTTGTTTGATATACAACCAGAGCCATGCCTTGATGTATTTCCTTGTATTTGGCAAAAGGTACCAGATCCCCGGCGTGGATGTGGTGGGCCTATAACACAAACATTGGCCTTACCGATTTAGAGTTAGGACTATAAACACCTTCAACATGTTATTGCTAATATATTAAAATCTATGGCTGGTAGAAATAAATCAAATGTTTCCATCAGTGTAAAGGTGAAAAGGGTGCTGAAGATTTTTCAGATGTCAAGTTCTCACTCTAGAAGGAGATAACTTTCGTGTGGTCTCAGTGCTCCCTTTTGGTTGTCTTTAAATATGGGTCGTGGCTATAAAGACATACATGGACTATGGAAAATCATCCCGATCCTTCTGTGAGTATTTACCAGCAGCTGCTGTACAGAGGGCCCAGCTGGGCTTTGCTAGCCACTAGAGGTACAAAGATTCAAACACAGGCACCTTCCTCAAGCAGCTTATAGTCTGAGACGGGTTAGCAAACTATGGACTGTGGGCCAAATTCGGCCTGATTTTTGTACAGCTCAAGAGCTAAGAATTTTTATGAGTCAAAGTATCAATTTGTCTCTAAGGCTGGAGGGCAGTGGTGTGATTACCACTCACTGCAACCTCTGCCTCCCGGGTTTAAGTGATTCTCCTGCCTCAGCCTCCTGAGTAGCTGGGATTATAGGTACCCACCACCACCCTGGCTATTTTTGGTATTTTTAGTAGAGACAGGGTTTCACCATGTTGGCTAGGCTGGTCTTGAACTCCTGACCTCAGATGATCCGCCCACCTCAGCCTCCCAAAGTGCTGGGATTACAGGCGTGAGCCATCGCACCCGGCCAAGAATTTATTTTATTTTTTTGAGATAGGGTCTTGCTCTGTCACCCAGGCTGGAGTGCAGTGGCATGATCACAGCTCACTGCAACCTCTGCCTCCCAGGCTGAAGTGATCCTCCAGTCTCAGCATCCTGTGTAGCCGGGACTATAGGTACACTCCACCACACCCAGCTAATTTTTGTATCTTTTGTAGTGATGGGGTTTTCACCATGTTGCCTAGGCTGGTCTCAAACTCCTGGCTCAAGCTGTCCTCCCGCCTTGGCTTCCCAAAGTGTTGGAATTAGAGGCATGAGCCACTGTGCCTGGTCAAGAATGCTTTTTATATCTTTCAAAGGTTAGAAAAAAAGGAATATTTCATGATACGTCAAAATTATAAGAAATTCTAGTTTTGATGATCCTTAACAAGGTTTGATTGGCACATAGCCATGCCTATTCATTTGCATATTAGCTTTGACTGCCTTCATGCTACAAAATATTAAGCAGATTGAAGCAGTTGCCACAGAGACTATATGTGGCCTGCAAAGCCTAAATGGTTTCCTATCTAGCTCTTTGCAATAAGATAGCATTTGCTGGCCTCTGGTCTAGAGGAGGACTGATCTTAACAATGGGTCATTAAAAAACAGGGTTAAAAAGTGCTTCATTACAAAAGAAAATGGTCCTTCTCAAACAGGAAAAGGCTCTCCACCCAGAGCCTAGGAGGGGAGAAGTATTTATGGAGTTTGATTTTTGGCGCATTGAATTTCAGTTTCTAAGTGGAATTGGCCGCCTGGTGCGGTGGCTGACACCTGTAATCCCAGAACTTTGGGAGGCCGAGGCAGGAGAATCACCTGAGATCAGGAGTTCGAGACCAGCCTGGCCAATGTGGTGAAACTCCATCTCTACTAAAAATACAAGAATTAGCCAGGCATGGTGGCGCATGCCTGTAGTCCCAGGTATTCGGGAGGCTGAGGCAGGAGAATTACTTGAACCTCAAGGCAGAGGCTATAAATGAATGAAGCAGTCCGTCTGAGGGCAGCAGGGCTACAAGAAGGGTATTACAATGTGGGAAACACTCCTGTTGGAGTCCATAGGCCTGGTCACATCACAGGGGCCTGCTCCTCAGCCCCTCCCCAGCCCTGCCTGTCTCCTTTGCTCTCTCACATCAGCCATGGGCCCAACTCCACAGTCTGTTCACCCCACACCTGCCCCTTCCAGGAGAAGCAGCACCCCCAGGAAGTAATTGAGCAAAGCATCATCGGCTGCATGGATCCAGATACCAGTCTTTAGGTTTGTCTGGAATGGCCATGTAAAAAACAAAAAATTTCATTTTTTATTACTTTTTTTTGGAATGGCCATTTGTGGGACTTCAGAATGGTCCAGCCGGGCTTAAACTCACATGCCTGTCTACCCCTCTCAAGGACAGATAATAGTCTTGACAGATAGTGTCATTTGATGGGATTTCAGAAAACCATGTTCTGAAAAGAAACTACCTACAGGGATAAAACCCATTACTCATTTGCTGAACAACTGAATTCGTTGCCAGTTTGGACCTCCCCAATTCCAAATAGGGTCCTCATTTCATGTTGGTTTTTAAAGATTCAGTTCACAGAACAAAGGAGTAAATTAATTTGAGTTTTTAAAGGAAATCGTATTTCAATAAAGCTGTTATCAAAAAAAAAAATACAAAGAAGAGACTACTGAACAAGTCAAGGGAATGGTTACTTTTGTGAGGGAAGGAGGCAGCTGTTAAAATGCCTGTGGAGGGAGAGGGAAAATAGCCACAAAAAGTAGGAATCCTCCTCCAAAGGGAAAAAAAAACACCTCCTCACAGCTTTAAAATGGCTGCTTTCCCCCTCACTTCTACCCATCAACTTTCAAAAATAAAGAGGTCTGAGGGCCGGGCACAGTGGCTCACGCCTATAATCCCAGCACTTTGGGAGGCCGAGGCGGGTGGATCACGAGGTCAAGAGATCGAGACCATCCTAGTCAACATGGTGAAACCCCGTTTCTAGTAAAAATACAAAAATTAGCTGGGCATGGTGGTGAATGCCTGTAGTCCCAGCTACTCAGGAGGCTAAGGCAGGAGAATTGCTTGAACCCAGGAGGCAGAGGTTGCGGTGAGCCGAGATCGTGCCATTGCACTCCAGCCTGGGTAAAAATAAAGTCAAAAAGGTCTGGTTTCTGCCAGGGCACAGCATTAAGTCATCCACTGCTTGATGTTTAACATTTTTGGATCCTTTGAGCATTGGTCGGGAGAAAGCACATGGTGGAGAGAAGAGGAGCATGTACAAGTTTGTACAAGCCATTGGCACTTCACCTAGAGATGGGGACACCGTGTGGGATCCCCAGCCCATCTAGCATGGCCTGCTTTCAGCTCGTATGTCAGATTTTGTTCGAGAAAGTCGAAAAGCCCCTTTAGACTGGAAAGGAGCTTGGCCATCTTCCTTGATTTCATCGCCAGTCATTCATGTGCTGGCTGCATCCCTGGGCACTGGCACCTCATGTGCTTGTTTCATCCATATGCTCAAGGGATCACAGTGCTGACCTGAAGGGTGTGAGGAAGATGCAGGTGATGGGGCAGAGCTGAGGATGGTGGGGAAACAGGACAGAAAGTCAGGTGAGGTGGAGAAGGTGGACGAGCTTTGCCCAGGGAAGCAAAGCTGCCACTCCGTCAGCAAAGCCTTTCATCTCCTCAGTCCTGTGAACCCAAAAGTATCTAAAAAAGGTATCAGCCGATTTAGAAAGTTTATTTTGCCAAAGTTAAGGATGTGCCCATGACACAGTCTCAGGAGGTCCTGACAACATGGGCACAAGGCGATCGGAGCACAGCTTGGTTTTATACATTTTAGGGAGACATGAGACATTAATAAATGTAAGATGTACATTGGTTCTGTCCAGAAAGGCGGGGACAACTCGAAGCAGGGAGGTGGCTTCCAGGTCACAGGTAGATGAGAGGCAAATGGTTACATTCTTTTGGATCTCTGATCAGCCTTTCACTGGATATACAATTCACATGGGAGAGGAGGGTAGGGGAATAGTCACTTATGCCTGGTCTGGCTTTAGTGAAACAACAGGGCAGAGGAAGCAATTAGATATGCATTTGTCTCACGTGAGCCTCAGAGGGATGACTTTGAGCTCTGTCTGTCCTTTGTCCACAAGGAATTTCATTGTGGGCAAGTTGTGAGGGAGGGAGGTACCCTTATCTTCGGAGCTATCTTGTTTAGGAATAGAATGGGAGGTATGCCTGTCCAGTTTCCAGCTTGACTTTTCCCTTTGGCTTAGCGATTTGGGGATGCTCTTTCCTAGTCCTGTCTGGGAGGCTTGTGCCCAGGAGATTACTGAGGAAGCAGCTCTGGACACTGGAGGCAACCGTGACAGGGCTAGCCCGCAGCAGAGCCCTCCAGTGGAGGGGACAGTAACCTTCCCTCTGGAGTCCTGGCTTCTGACAGAAGGGAAGGCTCACTGAAGCCAAGAACCACCAGCTCCCTCTGCTCAGGTCCCGTTTTCTTTTTGAAGGGGAAGAAAAAAAAAACCTAGTCTGGAGCAGCAGTGGGAGGAAGTGGGAGGTGAAACTGCTGAAATCTGCTTCTCTGAGTATTTTTGGAGATGCAAATGCTTCCTTGCAATGAAAGGGAAAGTGTCTTGTTTCTGCAGTTTCCTGGCATTGTGACCATCGGGGGTGGTGTCGAACCGCCCAGGTATCTCCTGTGGTGCAGAAAGTTAGGGGGGACCATCAGGTCTCCACCATTAGCTTATAAATAGAAAAGCCAAACTAGCACTCCACACCCTCACCCACACCCCCTGTGAGTGCACCGTCTGAGAACACAAATGCTGTGTTTTTGAGGCCACCTTACAAAGCTCTCTGAAGAGTGGTCAAGGCAGAGGTCCTGAGGAAAGCCAAGCAAGGGGATTCTATTCTTTGGAATTGCCCACGGCAATGCGTGGGTGAACACCTGAAGCTTTTTCCCCAAGCCGTTGCTTTGCTTGCAAAGCTGCTGTGAATCTTAGAAACAAAACTAGAGGAAAATGAGAATTTTATAGATCATGCATTAAGCTTGTGTCCATGATTATTTGAAACGTTTGGTAACGTCAGATTCGGGAAACTAGCGAAGTTCTTTTTGAAAGAGGGCTTCTTATGGTAACTACTATTCTCTATGAGCCAACCTGTTATGAAAAATAAAGGTAAGTTTTGAGAAATTAATATGAAGTTATAATTCCATGGTATATAGAATGCATCCAGAGTTGATCCCATGTTAAGTAGGATGCTCTGCATTTTCAGAACTGATACTTAGAAGGAGCACCTCTTGAGAGGCTTCCACTAATTAGCTCTGTGACCTTGGACTAGTGAGATCGCCCCTTGGGGTCTCCTGTCCTTGTTGAATGACACAAGAGAGGCCCCGATGTTGCTTAGGGCACTCCAATTCTAGATCCTCTAGCTCTGGGGAGTGTGGCTGGCACTTACTTCCCCATGTTCCCCTGTGCTGGCTTTTCCTTCTTGCTGCCAATGCCGGGGCGAGTGTTCCCATGATGTGTTCCACAGGTCAGTGTTGGGCCTGAAAATGCACAATCCTTCCACTCAGGGGACGCACCTACCTGTTTCAGTGATGATTGTCCTTCCTCTCATTTTGCCCTAGTTTGTTTTCCTCACCTATGTGCTTGGAGTGGCCTGGCTGGGTGTGTTTGGTTTCTCAGCGGTGCCCGTGTTTATGTTCTACAACATATGGTCAACTTGTGAAGTCATCAAGTCACCGCAGACCAACGGGACCACGGGTGTGGAGCAGATCTGTGTGGATATCCGACAATATGGTACTTCCTGCTTATTTACCACCCCCCCAAATTAATTATCTTGTGTTGCATATGTCTGGATCTTTATTATTACATGGGCATCCTTTTAATTGTTATGATCTGTTTCATCCCTTCTATTACAGTAATTTTATAGTTTTCCCTTCAGCATGCTGTTTCCTGGGTGGAAATATCAGGGAGGCTTTTAGCTTGCTAGAAGGTGTCAAGATTTCGTTACATTTTCATGTTAAGTGTGTAGTAAAAGAAGCTTTTCATAATGTGAAACTACTTTATAATGTAGTTCAATCAAAAACTTGGATCTCTGCTATAAAAAGATTATATATTTTTGTTTCAGTTTTATACATCCAACTTTCCATTCAAAATAATATTGCACACATTGTATAATTCAATGAATTTGTACATCCAACTCCTCAAATCTGGTCTTTTTAAAATGACCAACTGCTTAAACCTCATCTGTACTGAAAAATGCAACATTAGATTCAGACATATTTTAAAGTCATCAGAACATACTCTATAAAAATCGTCAGTTGTTGGAAACCAGTTCAAACATTTTCTAAAGAGCTAGATCCTTGTAATAGGGATGTAAGATTGGTTCATTGTGACAAGCCCCAGAAAAGACCATTGGCTCTTCCTGTCAATTAATTTGGGACTTGACTTCGCTGCTGAGTAAGAGGACAGCATCCTAAGGTAGGAGTCTAATTACTGCTTCAAGCCAGGATGGTAGGAAATCTTTTCTTGGCAGAAACAACCAGGGGGGAAGAAAGCTTTCATCAAAATTGAAGAGGAAATAACTGTCCTTCCAGAGCTTTTCTGGAAAGAGATGACTATTTCATTTTTGCTGCTTTTCTCATATGGCTTTAGTCTCAACATCTTACAACATAATACTAAATTTGCTTGAAACTGCCCATCAGACTAATCTCTTCTTACAAAGAATAAGGCTGAGCAACACTGTTCTTTTTGAAAGATCTAAAAACAGAGCCTAAAGTTGGCTGTTAAAGTATATCATTTCCCTATTCCTTAAAAATCAGTGTTTTGGGCCGGGCGCGGTGGCTCACACCTGTAATCCCAGCACTTTGGGAGGCCGAGGCGGGTGGATCACGAGGTCAAGAGATCGAGACCATCCTGGTCAACACGGTGAAACCCCGTCTCTACTAAAACTACAAAAAATTAGCTGGGCATGGTGGCGCGTGCCTGTAATCCCAGCTACTCAGGAGGCTGAGGCAGGAGAATTGCCTGAACCCAGGANAGGCTGAGGCAGGAGAATTGCCTGAACCCAGGAGGCGGAGGTTGCGGTGAGCCGAGATCACACCATTGCACTCCAGCCTGGGTAACAAGAGCGAAACTCTGTCTCAAAAAAAAAAAAAAAATCAGTGTTTTGCCACAAATTTTTGGTAGTCAGCCATCTTTTTAAATCCTCTATATTTGCCTATTGATTGTTGAATTTACTGGTTTCAGTGGCAGTTTGGGGTCATTTCCCATTCTTCTGAGGTATACAGATGTACTCTTGGCCTATGTCAAGGATGAAAGGAATAAGGACTTTTTTTTTCTTCTAATACTCCTTTCCTTACCTCCTAGAAGTGTTTAAGCACAAACTTATGCTTTAAAGGGGGAAAAGCAGCAGCCCACTGGACAATTGTCACTGCAGAGCAGCCTCAGGGTTACAGTGAGAGAAATGACAGACTGTTTGTCCCACCCTCTGGGGTAAAGGACAGTAGTGTTTTTTTTTTAATTTCCAATTTTTCAGTCCTAAAGTATTTTCTAATACATTTATAAGACATAAAAATGAATATAAAAACAAAGTACAAATCCAGCATTTTTTATTAGATTCCCACAAACATAAATTACTCCATTTGCCATGAAAGGTCTGAGTGTATACTGGCAATTTTGGAACTTAACTCCTGGCGGGCCACTAACCAAGAGCTTGAACAGCAAGGCCACAGACCACAACATTCATGAAGAAATGTTTTTGACCTCAATGTGATAAAATGCTCTCTGAGGTGGTTATCCTGCAGTAACTATAGGGAAAGCCTGGCTTTGAAAATTAATCTTTACAAACATGAACTCCCAAATATGAACCCTCACTGAATAAAGCACAATTTGTAGGGGAAAAAATATCAGGCTATTCAAATCTCTTATGGACTAGCTGGCTTTGCTTTTGGCCTGTTGTCCAAATGGGGCTATTTATTCCAAAATGCTGTTCTGTAGACAGCAGATCCATCAATTCTTAATGAAGAACACAGCCTACAATTACATTGTAACTAGCATCCAAAGTGGTGGGGTCTATTAAAAACATGAGGCACTACAGTTTGTACTAACATCCCATTGGGGTTCATTTTACAGGCATCATTCCTTGGAATGCATTCCCAGGAAAAATATGTGGCTCTGCCTTGGAGAACATCTGCAACACAAATGAGGTAAACTTATCACAGTTCAGAGGGCTCGTAAGAATAACCCTTGAGTATTAGGCTGAGAAAAAGGGCTCTCCTAGCTATAGAGAGAGCAAGAGAGATGGCTAAAATGCTATTAAGGAAAGCTCCTTGTTTAGATTCTTTAAGACTGAGCTATATGTAACCATCACTATTCAGCCATTTTCAACCTACAAAAATGGTCAGTTCAAATGGTCCAGTCCATTTGGTGAGGATCCTTAAGAAATGGAGGACTTTTCCTTTGGGCAATAATTTAGAGGTGATCCCAAACCTACAAATCTAATAATACATCTAGATTCTTCTCACCTCTTTAGAAAGATTTCCAAAGTAGAACACGTGTCACAGAACAGATGTAAGTTAATTTTCATAGAGGAGTCCCTCTATTTCATAGAGGAATTTATGTGTATACCCAATTTTTAATAAATGAGGCCACAGTTAATCATTTATGTTTCCGGAATGACTTGTTATTTCTGTTTTTCATTTATCCTTAGTCGGGAGTATTTCCTAATACTTTGGTTTAAATTGTCTCAGCCCTAGAATATTCTTGAGTCATTGGCTTTTAACTGTTTATAAAGCAAAATTCTTAAATGCATTGGTAGGTGCTTGTGTATTTAAGAAAATCCTGGCCCGGCGTGCTGGCTCACGCCTGTAATCCCAGCACTTTGGGAGGCAGAGGTGGGCGGATCACCTGAGGTTGGGAGTTTGAGACCAGCCTGACCAACATGGGGAAACCCCATCTCTACTAAAAACCCAAAATTAGCCAGGCATGGTGGTGCATGCCTGTAATCCCAGCTACTCCAGAGGCCGAGGCAGGACAATCGCTTGAACCTGGGAGGTGGAGGTTGTGGTGAGCCGAGATCACACCATTGCACTCCAGCCTGGGCGACAAGAGCAAAACACACACACAAAATCCTGTCATGCTTTTAGAAAACAGTGAGTTACAGAAATAATCAGCTCCTACCGTATCCGGCTTGTCAATTTGTATATCCATAATATGCAGTGGCTTGAAGCAAGGGCTCCCTGCCTTAGCTGCACATTACAGCCATCAAGGCAGCACTATATATACTGATAGGTGAGGCCCAGCCCCTAGGTATTCAGATTTAATCAATTTGGGAGGCAGTCTGAGCATCAGAAAGTTTTTAAGGCTCCCCAGGCAATTCCACCATGAGTCCAGAGCACAAAGAGAAGGCAGGCCTGTGCCCAGTCTTGCAGAGAATAGTTGCAAAGGAGACAGATGAAGCGGCATCCCAGAATGAGTGGAGGCCATATCATTTCACATCAAATGCTTATGTTGGTGCCCTGTTCTTTTGTAGTTCTACATGTCCTATCACCTGTTCATTGTGGCCTGTGCAGGAGCTGGTGCCACCGTCATTGCCCTGGTGAGTAATAGCCCCAAGACCACCCTAGTCTAGCCCCCTCCCTCCAGCCTCTAAATGACAGATTTCCCTTCCAGCTTTTACCAGCCTATTGAAGCCAATGATTCTGGCACTCAACCTTGGTTAATTGGCACCTGTGTTAACTTACCACATGTAGTTTGCAGACAGTATTAGTTGGCTGCCTTGGCACCAATTGTAGGTGATGTAATTTGGACTCTGGAAAGAAGAGAGGGTATCAACACCTGTCAGCTAGGCCTAGCATATTACCTTGTTGCACTGAGCACTTAGCTTCAGGACTTTAGTCATAGACAAATGAAATGCTCACATGAGGCATTACCCATTTCTTTACCAAGGAATATTTCCAAATGTAAATATGCACATATACATACATTTATATAGTCACTCTCATTATACACAGCTGTGTTTCATAAAGTCACCTCAAGCACTGAATGAGCAAATGCTGGACCACTGCTCCTAGGGAAAATACATGGCTAGGTTCCTGTGAGCCTCTGGTCACATCATTTTCATCAACCTATCAATCAACACAGCTTGTTTTGTGTGTTTCTGTGTAAATACATCTTATTTAATATATATTGTTGAGTCCTTAATATTGAATTCATGGCCAATAGCACTATCTCTCATGGCTCAACAAAGCTTCTCTAATGAATGTTTTCTCTGGTCAGGCAGTTTGCAACCTTCTTGCACTTAGGGACACTAGACAGCACTGCAGCACTATGCTTAGGAGCCATTTTAAGCAGTAAAATCACCCAGAAAAGCACCAAAATGTGAGAAACGTGGCACTAAATATACTTTGAGTATACTTATTTACAGTCTGAGAGGTGAAACACGAAGGCAGAGTGTTGTTTGTTCAACCTCAGCTGGGAATGTGCATACTGGGCAACTCAACTTTCACTGCTCTGCACATGTCTGCTAATAACTGAAAGAAGTGCCTCAAGTATTATGGGTTACAAATGAATCTTAGCAAGTGGGCAGAGTCACAAATATGGAATCTACAAGTAATAAAAATCAACTGTATAAACACATGCTCTTATGTATGTTCATATACATGTAATTTTGGAGGGCTTGGTTTGTGATTTGAGGAAAACCAAGATTGGTAGAGCAAGGGGAAAATCTCGTCTGCTTGTAAATGAGTCATTCCCAGTTTTTCTGACTATTAAATCTTTCTCTTCAAACACATCCAAGTCCTTTTAATAAACTTACTGAAGGCAGAACTAATGACTTAGATTATACACGTGTGATGAGAAAAAGTTTGTGTGCCAGATAGGAAAACTGTCTCTCATGATTTTAAGGGGGAAGAAAAGAAACATATTAGACTATGAGCAGGCACCCGTCCCCAGCCAAGTTTAGAAGTGTCATGGCATCGGCTCACTGCCTGTATCTTACTGTCCTGTTTTGTTCTCTTCCACCAGCTGATCTACATGATGGCTACTACATATAACTATGCGGTTTTGAAGTTTAAGAGTCGGGAAGATTGCTGCACTAAATTCTAAATTGCATAAGGAGTTTTAGAGAGCTATGCTCTGTAGCATGAAATATCACTGACACTCCAGACTAAAGCAGAGTCTAGGTTTCTGCAGTTTTATTACAGTAATTTGTAAATAGCTTTTAGTATACTCATCTTGCATGGTAGATTAATAAGATGACTTACTGTACATGAATTACACAATAATGAGATCTGGCTATTTCCATATTTTGAAAAGGATTGAGTTATTTACTGACACTGGTGAGCATCCTTTGAAAAATATGTTCTCATACTTTAGAGAGCAGTATCTTTAAATGAAGTATTAACACTTTGGAATAATTATTTTGTTATTTTTGATTGCTTGATAACCAGTTTCAATGATGAAAATGAAAAGGGCTGAAGATGAAATGGAAGAGAACTGTTTTAAGCTGGATTTTGTTTTGTCATACTCTTTCTGGAAAATACTTAGCAAATATTTTCTAAATTTAAAACAATTCTTTAATGATTTCATGGTTGACTACCAAATGACCGTCAAATAAGCCAGATGAAAATTTGAAGGAAAAAAAAAAAAAGGATTTATATGTGGATAGTGTTTTTTTTTTCTTCACAACACAATCATTCCTTTAGAGCCCACAAAATTGGTAACCTTAAATTGTGTGTTTTGGTAAGTAGTAACTGTTTCCTCGTAGCTAGTTCTCAAACTGCATGTAATATTTTAAAGGGAAGAGAAACTAGGCCTGGACATGAAGGTCTCAAATATGTTGAGATGGAAGTATGAACTATAAGGAACTTGAGATGTGGATTTATTTTGTAGGAAATAGGAAAATAAACAGGAAAGAAGTGTTTGCTGCAAAGTGTAAAGAATGATACTGAGGATTTTTACATTTTATGAAATGAAATAATGGCATTTACAAAATGAAAAGTAGTTTCACAACTAAATTTTGTTAACAGACTGCATGCTTATGCTTTTAATTTTGGTTTTGACATTTTTTTCCATGTTGACTATGTAGTTTATTTACTCAAAAATAAACATTGTTCATACTTTTAGGCCTTTGGGGGAACTGATTTTTATCCACAGGTAGAAAATGTGTTTGCACATACTACACTTATTTAAAATATACACTGTGTTCCTGAACTTCTGCATTGGTCTTTAAAAATTACTCTCAAAATGGTAAAGCAGCACCCTCTCATATTTCATTTTTGCTTTTTCTTAACAATACCTTTGGCCATTTTTTTTTCCAGTTCACTATGTTTGTCTACTAACTTTTCTTCAGCCTTTTAATGCAAAGCCAACTAGTAGAGCATGCTTACAGGATCTGACAGCTCTGCTAGTAGAGAGAGTATTAATACAGAATAACCTTCGCCCCCTTTAAAGTCAAGTCCGTCTAATCTAACTAGCGCCTCGCTTTGCCTTCTCACATGCTCACTAGCCATCATGCTCACCCTTCTCTTCCAGATCCACTTCCTCATGATACTGTCTTCTAACTGGGCTTACTTAAAGGATGCGAGCAAAATGCAGGCTTACCAGGATATCAAAGCAAAGGAAGAACAGGAACTGCAAGATATCCAGTCTCGGTCAAAAGAACAACTCAATTCTTACACATAAATGTTTGCCAGAGTGTTTCAGCGACGTATTTACAGCTCTGACAAATCATCGGCTGCTCTGCAGTACAGATGTGTACCCCACCAAACTAATGTAGATGTACAAACACTTCACTGTCTGTCTCAAGCTGCTGGGATGTATCTCTAGGAAAACCTTCCAGTGGGTAAATCTTTTTCTTTAGAGCAAATATTGGAGGTTTCATGTTAGCCATTTTAAAAGGCAACACTTTGACAAAATGATCGTTCATACTTTGGGAATTTGTGGCATGTTCACATTTATTGCTAGAGCAATTCTAAGACACTCAATGGAATATGTCACTCTCTTTGATAGGGACCTGTGACATGCCAGCATCAAGGGGTAAGACCATAAATTCACATATTTTCGGACATCTGTCCTCTAAGTGTTATCTACATAGGAAACAAAATGGAATTTTATTTCATTTATGTAAAATGTGTGGTGTGAAGTTCCATTTCTGACAGCTGACATTTATTAAACTTTGGCTCAAAGTTAACATGATTCTTATGACTGACTTTTCAAAGTAGCTTTTCCCTCCCAAGTCTAGGACCCATTAATTTCCTGAGCCAATCACAACTATATTTTTCAATAATGCTAAAATTAGCTACAATCCCGCTGACCCTACTACAAAAGAATCTGACTCATTGACAAGCTTTCCAGAAATAATTTTATAATAGCATTTTATCAAAATACTGATCCAGTTTTCATTATTTGTGGGAAATAAATGTCAGCTCTGCCTTAATGAGTATTTGCTTTAAATTTCTAAGAATTTATATCATAACCAGAGACCCAAATATCTTTCACAGAATTTTGTTCCATAAATGTTTTTCTTAAGAAGTGTTACCTTATTAAAATGACCGCCATTCTAAACCATTTTTCTGTGGTCTGGATAGTAAGTTTACAGTTTCATACCAACTATTGAAAACCTAATTGCAAATTGACCACAGACCTCTAACCTCCTACTTTTATAGACTTGAATACTTAAGTAATTTAAATTAGGGTTGGTTTTCATTTTTTCTTATCTAAATCTTAATTTCCTGGAATAATAAAGTTTGATGTTCAGCAAGGAAACTGCTTGAGTTTAAGCCATTTTCAAAAGAAACTTGCCTTCTACATTATTGTGTTCCAGAACATTAAGTGACTATAGGTACTGGGTATTAGTGATGGTAAACTTTGTGTTGTTCTTTATGAAATGATCCATATAACTATTGGGTGCATCAGTGCTTTTCAAAGGGGCTGCTTACTATAGGGTTAACTATGTATATTCATTGTTAAGAGTTAACTTGTGGTTTGGCTGTTTCCTGGATTTTATAACATATACATGTGCAGAAATGTATTCAAATGAAAGGAAGCATACCTTTATCAAGATGCTATTAAAATTGAACATCAAGTATAATATTTCATTTGGATTCTTTTTTTTTGGTTAATGCCTAAAAATGCCTATTTGGGATTTTTTTTTTTTTTTTATGGAGACAAGCTCTCTTCTGTGTAGAATGGGCATTCCAAGACAGCTTAGTGCATAGTTTTCCTGTTGCATGACAGATTTAACTATTCTTTCCAGCAGTGGAGGTGCTGTCAGAGTCCAGTGTTCTAGAAGAGGCAGTGTCTAACGCCTAATTAATTTTACTTTTCTAATTCTGGTAGCTATTACCAGGAATTTTTGAAAGTTTTGTTTAAGTAGTCTAATATTTTTTATGTAAAGAGCATTAAATTTTGCTATGTATAAATTTTTGTAACCTAACAGCGAATCAATATTTTCTATCAGTGCCAAGGGCTTCCTGTAGTTCTATTCAAGTGTTACAATAAATATTTGTAGATAATAGTCAATACTTGTGTATGCTTATTTTAAAGATCTATTTAGGTGGAAATAGTTGTGGATGTACTAAGAGTAATGAAATAAAATTATAGCTTCATTCACTTGCCTTTTTACCATACATAAATCCTTTGTTCTCAGTATGGTGTCACTTTTGAATAATGTGCATAGTCAAGATTTCACGTTGGTATGGAACTCAAGTCTGAGTGTTGTTTTATTTCTGGCAAAAATCTCGCAATTTAATTAAATATTATGATCCACTGGGCTGTATTGGGCACAGAACTGCCACTAGCACTTCTGTAGTTCTCCGTATAAAGTAAGAATTTTTCTGACTAGTTTTTTTTTTTTTTTAAACAAATAAACACCATCTACCTATGAGATCAACAGGGCTTAAACTTGGGCAAAGTAGAAACAAAATAAGGGCCTGTGTGCAGTTATTTTTCAAACCAAAAGTCTACTGAAAGATTCACTCAGGAATATAGAAAAACCTAGTTCTAACAGTTACTCTCTAGAGAAGCAGAGCTAAATATGTTACTTAGGATTTTATTTTATAATCTGCTTAAACTCATATCTGTCAACATGATTACACATCTGATTCTCCGCATCTGACCTTTCTTAGTGAGGCCCAGCCTTTGTCACTATTGACACATGGCCATTCCTAAAGGAGGTGCTGACTCTGGATCATCACCCTTTCATGCATGGCAGGAAAACAATCAGGAGCTCAATTAGTGTGCTATTTGTCACACTACTTAGTATCTTCTGTTTAAGTAGCATTTTGTGCAATTAAGTCACATGAGTCACCAGAGGAAACTGTAAATAATGATTAAAATCACAAGCATCCTCTTAATTATCCACAGTGATCCTGCCACAAAACCTAGGGCCCTCTAGAGGGCTGAGTAGAGATTTTCCAGTTCTGCCTTGTAAAAATTTTTAAGAGATAAAAATGAAGTCAATTATAGGGAAGGAGCCCAATCATTTAAAAACAAATGAAATACTTGAAGCCCATTCATTAAGTATGAGGACCAAAGGTTCCACAATCAAGATGCTATCTCAGTCTGTTCCTGCTGCCAGAACAAAATACCTTAGACTGGGTAACTTATAAAAACCAGAAATGTATTACTTACAGTTTTAGAGGCTGGGAAGTCCAAGATCAAGGAACTGGGAGGTTGGACGTCTAGTAAAGGCCCGGTCTCTGCTTCCAAGATGGTGCCTTGTTGCTGTGTTCTCCAGGGGGGACCAGTGCAGTGTCTTCAAATGGTGGATGGGCAAAAGGGCCTACCTAGCTAGTTCCATTGAGCCCTTTTATAAGGTCACTAATGCCACTCTTAGTCACCTCTGAAAGGCCCCACCTCTTAATTCCCCCCACCTCCAGTGTGATAGAACTAAATTCCAACATATAAATTTTGGAGGGACACATACATTCAAATAACAGATGTCAAAAGTAAAGACCAGAGGCAATATCTTACTATTTCTAATGCCTAGAAAAATCTGTTTTTCTGTTCAGGGAGAAAACAGGACTGGGCTGGGAAAAACAACCTCCTGTTTTACAGGTGGCAGCCCACCTTTGGAGAGGAAAGAACACAGCTTAAACTTCCAAAATGTAAGCCTGGAGTTGACCAATAAGATATGTTATACCCATTTAAAAATTTAAGACAAAAATAAGGAGGTTAAAAAAAAACACACCAGCTCCTTTTAGTATAATGAATGAGAAATTCTGACTGGAGAAGGGGTTTCACTTGACTATTCTTGGTTCATATACTCCAGTATCAAATATAATTATGGAAAAAAAACCCCACACTGGATTATGCACATTTTTATTGAGAGTTTTGTCTAATGATAAACATTTACAAAGGAGTAAATGTTATGTAACTTCTCATGGTATGTAAGTTAGAAGCTGGGCAGCAAACACAGTTACCAAGGGTCATCTGGTTCTTCATGAGAAAAGCCTGTTAAACTAAATTAGGGAAAGAGAAAAATTTAAATATAAAAATTAAAAAAATTTGTGTCAAGTTTATTTGGCATCTTCATAATGTTCTCAATTCCTTCCCTGGGGGGGGGGAGGGGTTTCTGCCCTAGCTTACAATTTATATGAGAATCAATTTCACAAGTTAAAAAACGCAATTGTTTTTATAGTTAGTCATTTTGACTGATTCAATAACTTATTTACAGGCAGTCTCAAACATTTAGCCATTTCTCTTGGCTGACAAAATGAGCAATGTTTGTGTATGAAACAGTGTGTGGGGAAACCAGGTACCTTTCGACTTTGTCACTAGATTGCAGCGTGTCCACTGGGGAGCCTTCTTGGACCATCTTTTTTGAGCTCTGATTACATAGGGGAGGGAGGGGGAAGAATTTTGAAATTAGATATGCATTAATTTTATGAAATACTTTTAAGAACCATTTTTGAAATATATAATTTAAAAGTCTAAAAAAGAGGTGACTTTTAAACATGAAATTTAAGCAAATACATCAAAATAAACTATAGGGTATGCATTGAACAACACAAAATTTCATACTTTTACAAAATATTAATGTCAGTACTAATGCATCTGCTATATGATAGATCTTTCTTGTTCTTAAAATAATGAGCCACCCCAACTTTACAAATGAAAATTTCTGAAATGTTACCTTAAGCAAAAAAGCTATGAATTTTTGTCAAAGGAGTAATATATTTAAAAGACTCAACATTACATTTGAACTTTGGATTTTCTATACTTTTCACTTTTTTGTCTTCAACGGGGAAGACAGATTCCTGTCTTAAGAAGTTAAACCACGGAAGGCCTGGGTGTCCCCTACCCACAGATTGCCCTGTCCATGGCATTGGCACCTTATCTGCCATCTCCTGGTCTTTCTCCTGCTGGATGATTTTCATATATTTCTCTAGAGGATTTTCACTGTGAGCAGATTTGTCTTTCATTTCTTGATTACTCATTTCTAATTCATTTTCCATTTCAATCTTCACTGATTCTTCAATCACCCTCTATAAAACAGGCACCAAAACAAAATACACAGATACATTTGAAAAACTTTTAAGTGTTTTAAAAATGCACTAATATAATCCCAATCCTTCCAGTACAGCCTGTATGCCAGAGAACTAAGTCATTGCTATCATCAAAGGAAGACAAATATGTCATTTGAATGAATGGATTAGTCTGCAAGTGTCCTAGGCTTTAGATTTGAATTAACCAGGAGTCCAAGGACCATCCTATGTTAGAGTAATTGAAGCAAGCCTTAGCAGGTGTGTTAAGTGGACAGAGTAATCCATCTGCTAGGACCAGAATGGGAACACAGAAGGCAAGAAGATAACTAAAAGAAGGAGGGGGGCAGTGTGTGCCCCAGGAAGCAACTGTGGACTGGCAGCCACCTCTTCCCTTGGGTTCTTCTAGTCCCAGCTAGCTGATATTGACAGCCTCTTTAAAGCCTGTTTTCAAAGCAAAGTTCTGCAGCAAACCACAGTCTACCTTTTTTACAGGCTTGTTTTAAGGATCAGATGAGAATGTATAAAAATTACCTTCAAAAACTATCCTTTACTACAAAACTCCTAAGCTGCACAATTGGATGCAGCCTTTCTCACTGCTTGTAAGACAAGGAGAGGAGGGGGTGCCTTTTTAGGCACCTGCCTCTGACTTTGGACACCAATTGACTCCCCTCCCTGAGCTCAATGTACTTAAGAAAGGCGTACAATGGAGCAACCAGTACAGAGAATCAAGTCATATTTATTATTATTACCCTTTCCTGATCCAGTTTTTCTAGTTCTCTTCGTCCCCTTTCTAAAATTTCTTGTAGGTTACTCTGCCTTCTTTCTTCTCTCTGCCTTCGTTCTTTCACTTGCTGTTCCCATATTTTCTCTTCTTCCTTTTCATCAATTTGTTTCTGATCTACACCTAATAGGACAGAAAATAAAGAGTATCTTCCAGTATCACACTGTTTAAATGAATGTAGGACCAGTCTGCAGGAGTCCTTGCTAAGGCCCACGGAGACTCTGCTTGGCTTTTAGTTGACTCTCTGACCTGCTTCAAGTCACTGTTTCATTTTCACTGACTTCAAGCCCCCAACTCCTTGAACTGCACCCTACTTCACTTGACTGAGGCGAATACAAGTCACCCTCACCATGACCAACTCCAACTGTCCTTCCTTCATGTCACATGTTCTCATCCTCTTCCAGATCTCCTCATTTCTTTCCAAGGCAATCCCTGCATTTCTGCCTCTGCCTTTGATTATAATCCCTCTCCTGTCTTTAGGACCCTGACTGAGCCATGAATCCCTGTTTCTGTACACACTAGTTTTAGAACTCTTACTCCCATAAAGCTGCTCACATGTGTCCTACCCCAACAAAACAGAACAGAAATCATCCCACTGCCCTCCCCCGGCCATTCCAGCCATCTCACTGTTCATTCCCCACTTCCTCCAAACTGACAGCAGCGCTTCCTGGGGTTTTAGTGATCACTTGTATATGGATCCCTTCCATATCTTTTCCTCTACTCCTGGTGTCTCTCCCTAGCCTCTCTCCATATTTCAGATAGTTCCCTGTCATCCACATGGGGAAACCCCACAGCACCAGCTTCCTCCCAGGCATGATCATTCCAGTCCTTTGATCATGCTCTTTCTACCCTCCATCCACTCAGCCACCAGCACTCGCAGGTTCATATACTCTGTTCTGTGGCTGCAACGGGCCCTTCTCACCATCTCCCTGGACTACTGAAACAGCCCAGTCAAGGCTCTCCCTGCAGCCAGTCTCTGCCTTCCAACAACCTGGCGGCCATCTGCACCAGGCATTTCCTCAGGGGAAGATGTGGATCTAGAGTCCAATGCCATGGTAGTTGGGCTCTGACAATATGCCTTTTTCTTCCCAGATGGATTTCCTACATCACTACCAACTTTGTACTAGAAATATTTCATCCGTACCAACCCACTCACTGGGGCCTAGCCATGGCTGTATCTTCCTTGCTCGGCATTTGCCTTCGCTGTCTCCTCAGCCTGTAGCACTCTCTTCCTCTCACAAAGCCTACAATGCTATTCAAGACCCGACTGAAATGCCACCTCCTCCTTATTCCTGAAGTGACAAGTAACCACTCCAGCATCTTACTTGCATGATGTCTT